AGATTTGTCAGGCATGATCTCCCCTTGATGAAACCATGCTGACTTTGCCCTGTTTCACTATACACTGCCAAATATTCAGAAATCTCATCCTTTACAATGGACTCCAAAATCTTACCCACGACCGAGGTTAGGCTAATCGGCCTGGAATTTTCTGTCTTTTGCCTTACTCCTTTTTTAAACAGGGGTGTCATGTTGGCAATTCTCCAGCCCTCTGGGACCCCCCTGACTCTAGCGATTCCTGAAAGATTACCACTAATACTTCCACTATCTCTTCTGCTATCTCCTTTAGAACTCTGGGGTGTAGTCGATCTGGTCCAGGTTATTTATCCACCTTCAGGCCAGTTTTACTAGCACCTTTTTCTTGGTGATCGCCACCACACTCAGCTCTGCCCCTTGACTCTCGAGTTTTTGGGAGATTACTCATTTCTTCCACCGTGAAGACTGACGCAAAGTTATTATTCAGTTCCTCGGCCATTCCCTTGTTCCCCACTACTATCTTTCCACCGTCATTTTCCAGTGGTCCAATGTCCAATTTTGCCCTTTTTATACCTAAAGAAACTCTTACAGTCTTTATTGATATTACTGGCTAGCTTACCTTCATGTTTAATCTTCTCCCTCCTTACTTTTTTTTTGTTGCCTTCTCTTGGTCTTTGTAAGCTTGCCAATTCTCTGGTTTTCCACTGCCCTTTGCCACATTATAAGCTTTCTCTTTTGCTTTTATGCTATCCCTGACTGCCTTAGTCAGCCATGGTCACCTTATCCTCCCTATACCATGCTTCTTTTTCCTAGGGATGAATTTTTGCTGTGTCTCCGGAATTACTCCCAGAAACTCCTCCTATTGCTGTTCCACTGTTTTTCCTGCTAGGCTCTTCCAGTCAATTCTGCCCAGCTCCTCCCTTATATCTCTGTAGTTGCTTTTATTCAGCTATAATCGCGTTACCTCTGATTCTATCTTGTCCATCTCAAATTGCAGAGTGAATTCTATCATATTATGATCACTACCTCCTAAGGGTTCCTTCACCTTAAGCTCCCTTATCAAGTCTGCCTCATTGCACAACACTAAATCCAGTATTGCCTGTTCTCTTGCGGGCTCCACCACTAGCTGCTCCAAAAAGCCATCTCGTAGACATTCCACAAACTCCCCTTCTTGCAATCCACTACCAACATGATTTTCCCAGTCCACCTGCATATTGAAATCCCCCATGATCACTGTGACTTTGCCTTTCTTACACACCTTTTCTATCTCCTGACTACTGTTTGGAGGCCTGTACACAACTCCAACTGTGGTTTGTTTACCTTTGCAGTTCCTCAATTCTACCCACAGATTCTACACTATCTGCCCCTACTTCATTTCTTCCTATTGATTTAATTTCATTTCTTACTAATAAGGCAACCCCACACCCTCGGCCGACCTGCCTCCCTTTTCCATAGGAAGTATACCCTTCGATATTCAGTTCCCAGTCCTGAACCCCTTGCAGCCACATCTCCATGATGCCCACCACATCATACGTGCCAATTTCGATCTGCGCCACAAGCTCATTTACCTTATTCCTTATACTGCATGCATTCAGATATAACACCTTCAGTCCTGTATTAACCATCCCTCTTCTCATAAGATAAACAAATGACTGTGCTTGAAGTTTGATTGCTAGCCCTTTCCAAACACTCTGTCCTATTTGTGTCTGTGCTGGATACTTTAATAATCTCTCCTGAGTTCTCCTTTCCTGTCATTGCTTTCATATTTTTCCACACAGCTGAATCCACCACTACAGACGTTAACCTGCTGCTTTGTTTCCCACTGGGGCAAGTTTCACAATTCTCTACCCCCCCATTTTCTACTTTAAAAGTCCTGTTGACCAGCCTATTTACCCTTCTCGCTGGAACATTGATCCCATCTCGATTCAGGTGGAGACTGTCCCAACGGTACAGATCCCTCCTGTTCCAATACTGATGCCAGTGGCCCATGAAAAGGAACCTCTTTTCCACACCACTCTTTTAGCCACATGTTTACTTCCTTTATTTTCATATCCCTATGCCAATTAGCACGTGGCTCGGGCAGTAATCCGGAGATTATAACCCTTTAGGACCTGTTCTTTAATTTGGTTCCTAGCTCTTGATAATCTCTCAACAGGTCCTCTTTCCTAGTCTTGCCTATGTTGTTTGTTCCGGTGTGGACCACAACTACTGGATCCTCCATCTACCAGGTGTGACTGCCTCCTGAAGCAAAGCATCCAGGTACTTCTCCCCCTCCCAGATGTGCCGCAGTGTTTGAAGCTCAGATTCCAGCTCATCAACTCGAAGCTGAAGTTCGAGGTGGAAAAGGTGACTATGAAAGCTACAATCATCATAAAAACGTATCTAATTCAGCAATGTCCTCCAGTCTGGTCATAGAGATTCTGGACTCCATGAGATTGTAGGGGTTTGGGCAGGTGGAGAAGAAAGGGGGCTGGAAGGAGAAGTAGTGAATGAGAGGTGTTTTATTGACCATCAGCTCAACTACCTTCAGCGAAATCTCCCAAACCAGCCACTTCCACCACCATGAAGGACCAAGGGAGCAGGTGTATGTGATCATCACCAGCTCGAAGCTCCCTCCAATTCACACAATGTCCTGATATTTAGTATTGGATGAAATTTCCTCCAATTTAGTTTAATTTAATCTAGAACCAGGGAGCATAGTCTGAGAATTAGGGCAGTTCAAGAGTGGTTAGGAATCACTTCGACACACAAAGCGTGTTAGAGGTTTGGAACTCTCTTCCAAAAATGGCAGTTGATACTTAAGTCACTCAGTTGTTAGTTTTAAGTCTGAGATGGATAAAACTTTTGCCAAAGGTATTCTGGGATATGGGCCAAAGGTGGGTATATGAAGTTAGGCCACAGATCAGCCACGATTTCACTCAATGGTCTACTCCTGATCCTTTGTTCACTGATAGCTGCTGGCTTCAGTCCCTGTTACACTATTGCTCGGTCCACCTATATTGCTCGGTCTGGTAACTGTCTGAACCAGGTACTTTGCAATGTTAGTGGATTTTTGGACTTGGATATCACCTTTCAACCAGACAGGCACATCCTCACCATTACGTTCTATTTCTGTTTCAGTGACATGGCCTGACTCCAGCACAGTATCAGCTCCACGTGCTAAAAATCTCACCCGGTCCTTTATAACCAAGACTGAAATGATCCGAACATACTCCTGATCCACTTCCCACTTTTAATCTCCCTGTAATGTTGAGTTCATCTACTCACACTAAGTCTTGTTCACCTCATGCTGAGCTCACTGATTTGAAGACCTCACCAGTTGAGAAACTGCAACATGTTAAAAACACTTCTCATCCTCATTTTCAAATGCCTCTATGATAGGAATGGTCGCTATCTCTACAATCTCCGCCAGCCACATAATCCTTCAAGATACCTGCATGCACTTAATTCTGGCTTCTTGAGCGTATTCAATTCATCTCCCCACCAATGGTGGATGCTCTTTCAATACAAAACTTTAGAATACCAAATTAAGAAGCAAGTAATTAAAACTGAGATGTCAGGACAGGTGATGTGTCGTAACTGCATGATGTGGGAGCTGGTGGATGCCACTGTGGTTCATAGGTGACTATATCCGTGGCAAGTGGTGGTTGCTTCAGGAACTGCAGCTCAGATTGATGAGCTGGAGTCTGAGCTCCAAACACTGCCATGTATCAGGGACATGGAAAGAGTTACCTGGACGCTCTGTTTCAGGAGGCTGTCAAACCCTTTAGAGTAACTATTTCAAATTCAATCAGTGGTCAGGGACAGAATGACTATGAGTGAAATGTAGAGTAGACTGTTCACAGGTAAATAGACATCTGATAAGTAGGAGGCTTTCAAAAGTGTAACAACAAGAGTTCAGGGTCATATTCCTGTTAGAGTGAAAGGCAAGGCTGGTATGATTAGAGAACATTAGATGAATAAAGATATTGAGGCTCTAATCAAGAATGAAAAGAATCATATTGTAGACAGACAACTGGGTTCAAACCAATCTCTTAAATCATATAAAGTGTGTACGGCATTCTTAAGAGGGAGATCAGGAAGGCAAAGAGGAGATATGAGATAAGGTTATCTGCCAAGGCTAAGGATAATCCAAAGAGATTCTACTAGTACACACACTGCAAGAGTGCAACAGGAGACACAGTTGGGCATCTTAAAGATCAAGGAGGTCATGTTTGTGTTGAAACTCAACAGATGGGGGAAGATATTAAATAAACATTTCCTGTTAGTTTTTAATTGTGCAGAAAGCTAGCCCAAATGTTCATGCTCCATGCATGAAGCTGGACAGTTCCTGTTGCCAAAGTATTTGACCAAGGGCCAAAGAAACAGAGACTAGGTGATATTTTTAGTGGCTGGATTGGCATTCTACTGTGTGGCTTCCTGCTACACTTATAGTCTAAACTTTACTGAGACGATAATGGATGATAATGGAATAGTTTAGGTTAGATGGGCTTCAGATTGTTGCACCGACCTGCGAAACCATTGAGGGCCGAAGGGCCTGTACTGCGCTGTAATGTTCTATGAGACTGGAGGGTTTGAGTTACGAAGAGAGACTGGACAGGTTGGAATGTAGGATGTTGAGGGGTAACTTTATAGATGTTTATAAAATCATTAAGGATATAGAGAAGGTGAATAACAAAGGTCTTTTCCATTGGATATGGGAACTTTTATTTTTAAGGTGAGAGAGGAGAAAGAATTAAAAGTGAATCAAGGGGAAACCTTTTCAAACAGAGGGTAGTTTGTATGTGGAATGAACTGCCAGACAAAGTCGTAGATGCAGGTACACTTACACATTTAAAAGATATTTGAATAGATACATGAAGTGGAAAGGTTTAGAGGGATATGGATAAAATGCAAGCAAGTGGGACTAGGTCAGTTTGGAAAACCTGATATCTGTTAAAAGGTGAGTTATAAAAACAAGACAATTGTAACTAAAAGATATCAACACTACATCACCACTGGATGAAAATAGTGTAACTCCTTACCAAACAACAATCTAGGAGTAGCTTCACCACACAGACTGCAGTAGTTCAACACGGTCAAGGAGGTACTGACTGATTTTGCAAACTTCTCGACTGGCTGCTCTGTCTGTCATATTCTATCCACTTCTCAAATTGTTGAATGTTCTGAGAAAAGCAACATAGTATGTAGGAAATAAGTAAATATCTTTGGAGGTTTGCTAATATGGGGTGAAGGGGGAGCAGGGCGGGGGACGGGTTTTGTGATCAGGTGACGAGCAACGAACGGCACTAATTCCCACCCTATTCTGTTTTCCCTCCACACTCTGGTCCATTTCCTCAGCGTCTTTCACACTGGCAGCCAGCTCCGTGACAAAGATGTGTACATGGACATTTTCCCATCAATCATGGTAACTAGCACATAAACAAGCCCCTCCCAATAGCATACTGCTATAGAGCATAATCTCCTCAGTGAACACGATAATGACTTAACCCAATTATATTTGCTTTCAGCCTCAATCACGCCAAAACAGATAAACAGTGAAGTGATAAATTATAAAAGCAAAAACAAAACTGACCAGATTACTTTAGCAGTTTCCATGATGCATCGTTTCACAGTTATATAGGATTGTCAAACCTTCATGCTGTAGCATTAAAGCCAAACTCCTCACAAAGCCCCAGTTCAAAAACTCCAGCCCTTCCGGGCCTGTTTCCAGGAACAAGCCTGAGGCTCTCTGCGGCTTAAATCGCGTTACTGGAAAACCCATGTTTGGGACTTCAGACATAAATCGGGCAATTATGAAATCTTATCACCGAAATATTGCGTTGAATGCTTCACTAACCGCTCGTGGATGTGTTAGATGAACATTTCTCTCCATCCATCACTCGCAGCACAAACACCTGTGCGTATGCTCCAGCAACTGTCCTCCGGTTTGATGACGTCCCACGACCAATAGCAAGCAAGGGGCGGGGCTGGAGGGTGACGCTGGTGTTGCCAGTCCTCCAACCAGGAAGAATGACGGGCGGGGCAGACAGCCTGACCAATCCGACGATGCAGGGGCGGGCTCGCCCTTGCAACCTCTCATGGCTCGATCGAGGGGCGGGGCTAGTGGGAGGCTCTCTTGAGCCAGAACATTGTTTTAGATTGTGGTTTTATTGTCATGAGTTCTCAGACGCAGGCGACAAAAGACAGTGAGAAGTGGACAGTGTCCCCACACACGGCGGCATCCGAGGTGCAAAATACCCAAATACAGAATCTTAGTTGCAGAAGTTCAAAAACAAAGAAATAACTTAAAGAAAGACTGTAATGTATGACTTTTTAAACTTTATTTCTATACTTTTCTCACTCTTATACTGAGAAGATTGTAGTGCTGAACTATTTCAAGCCATGGGCCTGCAGGCACGACTGAGCTTTCCCCATGAGGGATCGCTCTCCCCTGAGCTAGGCATGGACACACCTGTTTTCATCAGCTGTCCTCGCCCCTGACTGCCACTGTCAACCTTCATCAAGCATACCAGGCCCCGCTGCTGCTCACAAGGCCTTAGCTGGGACTGCTGCCTCGCTGCTGCTGACATTTTTGCAACTGTTCACCACTGACCACGACTGCTGCCATCCTTCGCCACTGGCTGCCACCACCATTATCTGGGACCACGCTGGATCCAATCCACTGCCATGCACTGTTGTATGTCAGCCATCTCGCTACAAAATCCAGCTCTGACACCACTCCTGACATTGATGCAGCCACGATGCCACCAACCACGACCAATCACCTCATGGCCAGCTGGCGAAGACCCCAGCCGCTGCCATTGCCACCTCCGTGACTCAGATCCAAAGACCAAAGAACAAAAAGAAAGAAAGAGAAAAGTGAGAAAAGAAAAAGGAAGAAAAGCAGTCAGAGTGGATGAGCTCTGGTGAGGAGCCTGACTCTGCTGCCATCTTGGATGGAGAATTGTACCCTGGACTGAGGGAAGGACTACTTCTGTTCATTCTATTTATAGCACTTTCAACGGGAAGCATTTCCAGATTATCAATTCCAACCAGATTTCACGGCAAGATCTAACAGAGTCAGTCCATTCACCAGCACCGCACTATCATCGGCCTTTCACCGTGTAAGGTAAAAGGTTTGCCTATTGTGTCTGTGGGAAAAGATTTCCGGGATCAGTGTCACTGGAAAAGCTCCAAAAAATTCAAAATCATGTGCAGAGCAGCCCCAGAGGATGTGTCTGGGTGCCACAGTTGAGGAAGGAGACTGGACCTTCCTGGGAGAGGAGCGCAGAGTTACACCAATAATTCCTGGACTCTAGGGTTATGTTACAAGCAGAGATTTCAGAAATCAGTCTTTGTTTCATTATGGCACAGAAAGAAGTAATTTAGCCAATTTCATGAAAGCCAACTTTCTCACCAATTCCCCTGCTCCCTTCCCAAAGCCCTGCAAGTTTTGTTCCCTTAAATGCTTATATATTTTCCTTTTTTAAGTCATGGATTCTCTTCATTTCCACTTGTAAGCAGAAAGGACTGTGTAGTACCACTCATTCTGGGGAAAAAAGAGCTCAGCTGGGAATATATTAGCCTAAAGATATAAAAGTCCTGGGTTCAGTTGCAGGTTTCACCAGTCAGTTTTGGGCATCACATTAGCTGAATGGTTAGCATTGCTGCATGACAGTGCCAGGAACCCAGGCTTGATTCCAGCCTTGGGCAAATGTTGGTGTGGAGTTTTCACATTGTCCTCAGGATTGCATGGGTTTCCTTAGGGTGCTCAGGTTCCTGTCATGATCCAAAGATGGGCAGGATAGGTGGATTGGCTGTGCGGAAAATTGACCCATAGTGTCCAGGGATGTGGGTAAGTTAGGTGGTAGGTTAGCCATGGTAAACATGGTTACAGGGATGGGGGAGGGGGGTGTCTGGGTGGTATGCTCTTCAGAGGGTCAGCGCCTCTACCTGCGCTGTAGGGATTCTTTGCTTGTATCCCTTGCCCATGTTGGAGATGCTTAGGCCTAATACACTACCCAACCTATTACAACTTACATAAAACACTTACATGAGGGGTGAAGGCTTCTAAAGATAGATAGAAAACCAAGTTGAGATGAAGACATGAGGTTGCAGGCAGATACAGATAGTCATGGGAGTTATACGGTGCAGAAACAGACCCTTCAGTTCAACCTGTCCATGCTGACAATGATCCCAAACTAAACTTATCCCACCTGCCTGAACTTGGCCCATATCCCTCCAAACATACTTATTCATGTACTTATCCCAGTGTCTTTTAAACGTTGTAACTGTACTTGCATCCACCACTTCCTCTAAAAGTTCACTCCACACATGAACCACACTGTGTAAAAATGTTGCCCCTCATGTCTTTTTCAAATTTTTCTCCTCTCAGCTTAAAAATATGCCCCTCGTCTTGAAATCCCTCAAACTCTGGAGAAGAAACCTGCCATCCATCTTATCTATACCCTCAATTATTTTATAAACTTCTATAAGGTTACCCCTCAACATCCTACTCTTTACTGAAAAATGTCCCAGCCTATCCAGCCTCTCCTTACGACTCAAACCCTCCACTTCTGTCAATATTCCAGTAAATTTTTCTGAACCCTCTCCAGCTTAATAATATCCTTCCCATTACAGGATGACCAGAACTGGACATAGTACTCTAGAAGATGCCTCACCAATGTCTTGTACAACTGCAACATGACGTCCCAACTCCTATACTCAAAGGAATGAGCAATGAAGGCAAGCATACTAAATGCCTTCTTAACTACCCTGTCTACATGTGATGCAAACTTCAAAGAATTGAGCCTGAGCCCCTAGGTCTCTCTGTTCTATAACACTACCCAAGGGCCTACTTTTAATTGTCGAAGTCCTGCCTTTGCTTGTTTTACCAAAATGCAATACCTCACATGTATCCAAATTTAGCTCCATCTGCCACACCACACCACAAAGAACCAATTGATCAACATCTCTTTGTAATCTTACATAACCTTCACTGTCCACTGTGCCACCAATTCTGGTATCATCCACAAACTTACTAACCATGCCTTCTATCTTCTCATCTAAATCATTTATATAAATGACAAAAGTGGACCCAAAGTGAACCCTGTGGAACACTGCTGGTAACAGACCTCCTGTCTGAGAAACAACCCTCCACCACCAATCTCTGTCTCCTGCCTTAAGCCAATTTTGTATCCAAATGACAAGTTCACCCTGAATCCCATATGATCAAACTTTGCTACTTAGTCTCCCATGCAGAACCTTGTCAAAGCTTTCACCAGTCCACGTAAACAATGTGTACTGCTCTGCCCTCATTAATCTTTTTGGTTACTTCCTCAAAAAACTCAATCAACTTTGAGTGATGTGATTTCCCTCACATAAAACCATGCTGAATATCCTGAATCATTTCTTGCCTCTCCAAATGGTGTATAAATCCTATCTTTCAGAATCACTTCCAACAAATTACCACTACCAAAGTCAGATTCACAGATCGATTTTCCCAAGTTTCTCTTTATATCCCTTTTTAAACAAATGCACAACATTAGCCACTCTGCAGTCACCCAGTACCTCAATAGATGATAAAAATATTTCTGCAAGAGACCCTGCAATTTCCTCACTAACTTTACACAAACTCCTGGGATACACGAGATCAGGTTCTGGAGAATTATCCAAATTTATATTTTCTAAGACCTCCAACATTTCCTCTTCTGTAATGTGAGCTGTTTTCAAAACATCAATATTAATTTCCCTGAGTTCTCTAGCCTCCATTTCTTCCACCACAGTTTAAAAACTGACACAAAATATTCATTTAATATCTCTCCCATCTCCTGAAATTCAACACAAAGGTGACCTCTTTCACCTTTAAGGGACCCAACTCTCTGTCCAGTTGCTCTCTTGCTCTTAATGTGCTTGTAGAATCTCTCTGGATTATCCTTAACCTTATTTGCTAAGGCTATCTCATATCCTGTCATTGCCTTCCTGATCTCCCTCTTAGAAATGCCTCTACACTCTTTATACTGATCAAGAGATTCACTTGAACCGAGTTGTTTATATCCAATATATCATTCTTTTTTATTCTTATGTGACAAGCCCTTCAGCTCTGTGATCAATCTTGTTAACATCCTCTGGATCCCAATCCCCCGCATATCCACCCAACCTCCTGCAACATCAGCACATCTTTCCTTACATACAAGGCCTGAAACTATTCTCAATGTTCAAATACAGTGCGACCAGAGCATGTTATGGCATCAGCAAATTTCTCTGCTCTTGTTTTCTCACTATCTTGAAATGAAAGTCTTCATTGCATTTGCCTTTCTAACCACCATCTAAACCCACAATGTTAACCTTAAGAGAATCCTGAACTGGAACTCACAACTCCCTTTGCACTTCAGATTTCTGAAGCCTTTCCCGATTCAGAAAATAGTCTATGCCTCTAATCTTCCTCACAAAATGTATAACCTCACACTTTCCCACACTGTATTACACCTGCTACTTCTTTGACCACTCTCCCAGCCTGTCCAAGTCATTCCGCTGCCTTCCTGCTTCCTCAGTATGATCTGATCCTCCACCTATCATTTGCAGACTTAGCAACAATACCCTCAATTCCTTTGTCCAGATCGTTAATGTATAACTTGAATAGTTGTGGTCCCAACACTGACCCCTGTTGAACTCTACTAGTCACCAGCTGACATCTGAAAAAGGCCACTTTATTCCAAAACTCTGTCTTCTGCCAGTCAGTCAGGCCAGTACCTTGCACCTAACACCATGGACTCTTACCTTATTTCACAGCTTCGTGTATGGCACCTTGTCAAATGCCTTCTGGAAATCCAAACAGATCACATCCACTGGCTCTCCTTTATCTGACTTGCTCGTTACCCCCTCAAAGAATTCTAACGGATTTATCAGGCATGACTCCCCCTTGACAAAGTTGTGCTGACTCTTCAAAGTACTCCGTGATCACATTTTTACACTGTCCTCTCACACCGTGTTAATGCAAAACTGATTTATTTGACTTTTTTACACAACATAAAGACTTTGATTTCAGTCCTGAATGTGATGAACAGCAAAGTCCAATCAGCGTTAAGATGTGTGAACTCTGTGTCATCTCAGCAGTGTTGATGACCGAGTGAATTCCTTCTCCCACATGGAGGAGATGAATTGTCTGTTCCCATGTGTGATCTCTCTGCTGTCTCAGCAGGGTCAATGAGTGAGCTCACAGTTTTTATCACATGGAGCAGGTAAATGCTTTCTCTCCTGTAGAACGTCGCTGGTATACTGAGAGTTGAGATGATCGCCTGAATCCAGTCCCACAACGAAAGCACCGGAAAGGTCTCTCATCATGTGAACATGTTGATGGGACATCAGTTCCACAGAACTTCGATAGCACTTCCCACAGACCAGACATTTGAAAGGTCTCTCCTCAATGTGAACACGTTGATGATAAAACAGTCCCCAGGAACTTGTAAAGTGATTCCCACAGTCTGAGCATTTAAAAGGTCTCTCCTCAGTGTGAACACTTTGATGGGACTTCAGTTCCACAGAATTCCTGAAGCACTTCCCGCAGTCTGAGCATTTGAAAGGTCTCTCCTCAGTGTGAACACGTTGATGACAAGTCAGTCCCCAGGAGCTTGTGTAGCACTTCCCACAGTCCGGGCATTTAAAAGATCTCTCTGCAGTGTGAACTTGCTGGTGTCTCAGCAGGTTGGACGACCGAGTGAAACCCCTCCCACATTTGGAGCAGCTGAACGGTCTCTTCCCAGTGTGAACCTGCTGGTGTTCCATGAGGTCAGATGATCGCCTGAACCCAGTCCCACAGAGAGAGCACGTGAACGGTCTCTCCTCAGAGTGAACATGCTGGTGGGACATCAGATCCCTGGAGGTTTTGTAGCATTTCCCACAGGCTGGGCATTTAAAAGGTCTCTCATTAATGTGAGCGAGTTGATGTGACAGCAGGTCCCTGGAACTTTTAAAGCACATCCCACAGTTTGGGCATTTAAAAGGTCTCTCCTCTGTGTGAGCACTTTGATGGGCCATCAGGTCCCCAGACGTTTTATAGTATTTTCCACAGTCTGGGCATTTAAAAGGTTTCTCGTTAGTATGAGCAGTTTGATGGGATGTCAAGTCCTCAGAGGTTTTATAACATTTTCCACAGTCTGGGCATTTAAAAGGTCTCTCATTAATGTGAGCTAGTTGATGGGATGTCAGGTTCCTGGAGGTTTTAAAGTATTTTCCACATTCTGTGCATTGAAATGGTCTCTCCTCATTGTGAACGAGCTGGTGTTGTAGCAGGTGAGATGACTGAGTGAATCCCTTCCCACACACTGAGCAGCTGAATGGCCTGTTACTGGTGTGACTATGTCGATGAGTTTCCAGCTCTGATGGGGAGATGAATTCCTCCCCACAATACCCACATTTCCACAGTTTCTCCCCAGCATGACTGCATTTGTGGTTTGTGAGCTCTGATGATTGGCTGAAGCCTTGTCCACACACACAACACGTGTATGGTTTCTCTCCAGTATGAACGGAGCTTTTTCCTTCCATGTTCAAAATCTGATCACGTTCCACTTGTGATAAAATGGGTGACTCTATCAAATCATGGTGTGATAGTTGGTTTGTAAATCTTCCCCTTCTAATATCCTGTGAAATTGATGTCAAACAAACAATAGAGTGAGAGAGAATCTTTCAGAAGACTCTGCATTCTGTGTGAAGATAGGGACTGAAGGAGAAGGATTTTCGACACCTACAACTTGACGAGAACTTTGTCAGAATCTTTCAAATACTCAGCTTCCACGACCAAGAAGGGGCAGGAGGTGGATGTGAACACCATCAGCTCCTAATTCCCTCCGGGTCACACACTGTCCTGACTTGTCTAACATCCAAACTTGATGCAGCAGAAATTTTCTCCACTCAAGTAATGGCAAAACTGAGGCCTTTTGTCTTTAGTCCCCAACACAAACTCTAGTGCCTACCACTGACTCCATCCCCTTCCCTGGCAACTGAGTCTGAACCAAATATGTCATTATCATGGTGAAACATTTCACCCCAAGATGAATTTTTAATCACATATCCCCATCATCACCAAGACTGCGTATTTCCACCTCAGCAACATCACCCAACTCCTCCTAGTCTCTGCTCATCTGCTGCTGAAACTCTTAATTCATTCCTTTGTTCCCTCAGGACTTAACTACCCTAGTATACTCCTCATTGGCCTCTCATGTTCCCCTCTCTGCACTTGTCTAACTACCTCTGCCTCTATTAAGAGCTCTGTTTAATGTTTTATTGTTCCTTCCACGGACTGTATCTGAATGAGGTTTTTACCACTGCCCATTCTCTCAACCATGTGCCGCTGCCTTCGCAGCTTTACCTTCCGACAAGATCTCCCACAATGCTGTAAGTGAAGGAGTTGCAGATTATTTACCCAGTGATGTAATCCTGAGGTCATCCAAAACTCTGCTACCCACTTGTGTATTCGCACCAAGACTTGTTCATTCACCACTCCGCGCTTGCGCAGCTCAATTTTAAATTTTACCTCCTTCTATTCAATACTTTGATAGTGTCCTATCTATCTCTGTAAGGTCCTCCCATCATTTCATGGACAATTAGGGCTGGCCACACAATGCTAACTCACCAGCAATTTTAAAAAGGTCCTTCGAGATATCTGGATTATCTCTTATTCCAACCTCCTGAGCATTCCCGATTTTAATTGTTCCACATTTGGTGTCCTCAACCTTCAGCTGCCAAGACCAGAAATCTCCTCACTCTCTCAACACCAGTTTTGCCATTTAAAATATTCCTTCAAAACTATATATTTGGCCATAAAGCGTGTTTTTTACCTCCCTAATATCTTGTTATATGAATGGAATTAAAAGTTACATCATAATACTCACAAGGAACAGCTTGGAAGTTTCCATTATCTGAAAAGCAGTATAATAACATACATTAATTGTCACTGATCTCAGCACATATCACAGTCCCTTCATCATCACTGGGCAAATAACTCCTTACCTAACGGCTTTGTGAGAACTACTAACGGAAGATAATTGCCTGCAGCAAATGGTCAGGGAATGTAAAAACCTCATTTAGAGAGTCAATGGAAGTAACAATGAAATACCTAAGACAGTTACAACCATTATTGGAGACAGAGGAATTTAAACAATGACACAGAGTTGATCAGGGAGAGCAATCGATGGACGTTGGTTCAGATCTGCAGTAAAGGGGTTGCACCAGCCCCAGAGCCATATCAAGCTTTCACAGATAACTGAGAACAGAACTAGAAGCTGAATTATTTAGGTTACTGGTTAAAAATATTGAAATAATTTCATTGTTTTCAACTTTAAAATCAAATGCCGGAGTCTGCAGCTCAAAAGATATCAGAAGCACTGAGGTCTGAGGAAACTCTTAGAGTTGAGGAAATACCCAGCAACAGGGTGATGTCACTGAATAATTGCCCATAACATTATCCATACGAACACAGAGCATTTGGGTCTGCACAAACATATGTTCACCACAAAAGATGTGAAGATCTGTGGAGAGATTTAAAAGGAGATTTATCAGAATGGTTCAAGAAACGAGGGATATTAGTTTTAGGGTCAGGTTGGAGAAACTCAAGTTTGTCCTGCACAGAGCAAAGGAGAGTGAAGTGAGATTTGACAAGGGTATCTAGTTTTATGGCGGGTTGAGATAAGGTAAATAAAGAGTAGCTGCCCCCATTAGCTTATAGTAAAAGTGTTAGGGACACAGATTTAAGATATTGGCCAAGATATTGGCAGATGTACGGGAGGAATTTTATGTTACTTTTGTTTTACTCAATACTTACATTCAAAGGCTAATAATATCCAGTGCTGAATGAATTATGAATAAAGCGGCACACTCAGATCTTAGTACGTCATTTGGTTTGAGTTTCCAATCTGTAAATTCTCTTCTAATATACCGTTACAAAAGCCATCTCAGTCAGTCCAAGACAGAAATTCAGAAGACACAAATATTTATGTTATTTGAGTTTGCTGTTTGTAAATCCGCCCCTCCTCACTCCCTGAAAAAGCAGTTTATAAACTCTATCACCTGTCAGTCCAGGAGAGACATTCACAGCATTCTTCCCTCCGCCCAGGATGACCGCACATGCGCCCTGCTGCCCTTTACCTCCTATAAAGATGGCGGCCGCCCCCCGGGCCTGTGGCTGCGGAGAAGCCTCAATTTGTCCCGTTTTGTGAAGCGGGGACAGATAGTTTCTTTATACATGGTCTGTCACATTCACAAAGTCTTTACGAAGCCTCTCCGTCTAACCGCCCGGTCCATCGCTTCTTCCGCTCCGCCGTATTATTACCTTTTTTTGGAGCCGAGGAAAAGAGCAGCTTCTACTCGGAATCACTCCAACTGCGCATGCTCTAGACACAGGCTAACGAGCATGCGCAATGATGAACAATTGCGTGCAAAAAAGGGTCCTTCACCAGCGCTCAGCGTTCTGGGTTAAACCGCAGCCATTGTAGATTTTGAATTTATGTATTGCTATGGGTGCAAATAATCTTTCTATTTTGCTCCTACAAGGACAACTTATATATAAAACACATGTAAGAGAGAATAAAACGTCTCCTGTGCGTCCCAAGGCTATAACAAAGTCTGACACCAAACCACACAATAAATTGTAAAGTCAGGCCATATACATTATGAGCCATAGGGCTGCTTTATTAATAGAGAAAACTGGTGGTGGTTTAACCTGAGGGAAACCACACCTCAGATAAGCAGAGAGGTTGAAAAAAGACGGTTATTAGTGGTAATTTCAAACAATGTGAGATTTAAACCCACATTGTTGGTAATGTGAAGAAAACTGACAAATGCTCTGAGAAAGAGTTTGGCTTTCAGAACTGACATCAAGGAGGAAGATGGGCATTTTGTGTTCCAGAAAACCACAATATTTTCTGTCAATGTTTGAAAGAGCTTTTTTTGTTCAGCTAAAGCCCTCAAAACATTGAATCACTATCTGGATGAGCACTTGGCTGAAGTGCTGGAAACTGGGTTTAGAAGCCAAATGGTGGATGACTGACAACAATGTAATGGGCCGAAGGGTCTCTCTCCATGCTGTTAAAGATTCAGTGACTCTATCATTCTTCAACTGACCAAAAAAAAAGTCGAAAGCAATGTCAACCAGAAAAGTTGCAAGCATTGTATGCGCCTTTCTTGGTGCTTTTTTTTAGTTGTGATTCAATCGTCTCACTGCTGTTTCCTGGGTTTGATTGCCAGTCAAGGAATGAGGATTTGTTGTTCCTGTACAAAACCTGAAAATGAACACGAGTTCCTGACATTAAAAGTAACAAAGAGAGCAGCTCTGTCAGAGTCAGTGAGAGTTTTACACCATGATGAAATTAAACGCTGAAAACCATTGCCTTTGTCTGCTCGGACCCAGTACTACCACAACAACAAAAAAAAATGCTCCTTTTTGAAACATACAGGATTTTTGCAGATTTAACGGGTTGGACGCAGAAAGGTTGGTTCCCTTCTCAGTCAGTCTTGGACCTGACTACCTCGTATGAGAATGGGGTGACACATTTAAGACAGAGATAAGGAAGAAATTATTCTCTCAGATGGTTGTGAATCTGTTGAATTCTTTACAGCAGAAGTTTGTTGTGGCTGAGTCATTAAGCATATTTAAGGCTGAGATCGACGTTAAAGGTATCAAGGCTTATGGGGAAAGGCAACAAAATGCAGTTCAAGGATTATCAGATCAGACAAAAGCTCATTGAGTGGCGGAGGAGACCTGATGGTCTGAATGGTCTCTTTCTGTTTCTAAAATTCATGGTCTTAATATGAGGCTGCAATACACTCCAGAGTAAAATGTGCCAAATTAAAAATGCATAGGTCCACTCGGACAACTGAACTGAGGTGAGGTGTGCAAAGGGTGAGATGTGTAAAGCAAGACACAAAGGATAGTCAATTTGTGTGATTGATCTGGAGTAATCGGTACACCAGGGTAAACAGGAAAACCAGTCTTCAGCACCCACACTGAGCCTACCACCACCAGAAAGACAGTTAACGCTCACTAACCACCAATGCCGTTCCATTTTCCTGATGTTTCTTCTGTTCTTGTCTTAAACTACCACACGTCAGGAAACTGCAGCTGACATTGTTGATGTGGGACTGTAACAATGTAGTGAAGCGATTCTGCCTGTCTAGGAGTTAATTCTGCCTCTAAAGATCAGGCAATATTTAATATTTATTACTATTAATGTTAACCATTAACAGGCCATGGCAGTGAAAGCACCGACTCCTCATCACTAGACAGCCAGGGAAGATCTCTGTTTATGTCACCCTGGAAAATGTCTGATTTGGTATTGCATTCTCCCATCTTTCTGCACATGATCTCCTCGGGTCTGTCTTGGTTTTATTACATTGTCTTGGTTTACAATACACAGGCTATCCAATCGTCTATTACACTGCAGTTTCTAATGCATGAGACATTCTCCCTCAGATGGCAATGTACTGGCTCTGTAGCTCAGCGGTTAGAACACCGGCCTTGTAAATCAAAAATGTGCTTGAAATGCCCCATTCCTGTTTGGCCTTCCAGAAAGTTGAGGAAGACGATTGGTAGGACAGAAAGCAACTGATGTAAGCAATCTCCCAGTTTGGCAGGTAGAGCGAGGTGATGCAGTATAAAGTGCAGAGTGATGGAGATAAGATGGGGGAAGAACACAGTCAGGGGAGCGGCATTATGCTTCCTTTCTTTGCTACAACTGGACTCTGATTTTGAAGTCTGAAATGGGACCATATAAGCCAAGTGGATGAAATCCTTCCTTTCCACGTGTTTTGCTCTCCTGAAGCCTCTGTCACTCTCGGGGCAATGTGTCTGTATATTTCCCTCTGTGAGTGAAAATGATGTTGAGTTCCCCGAGGGGGTGTGAACACAGTTTTACCATCTCAAACTTCAGCTCCATTCGTTGTGTTGTATGAGATTAAAATGTTACAGGGAAAATATCATTGAGATGAACTTTGAAACATGCTACATGCGAAGTGCTGGACAATGGAATGATGGGCTCTTCCCGTGCTGTAAAAACTCAATAACTCGATTGTTTTGGAGGAGAAACTTATCTCCAGTGAACAAAAAAGCAAAACGCTGTGTCAATAGTTGTGATTGGCTCTCTCACTGCTGTGGCCCCGGTACGATTTCTGGTCAGGGAATCAGGATTTATTGGTCCTGACAGCGACAAAATCAAACACAGTCCCATCTCTGACGGGAATCCTTTCAATGTCTCGGGTCAGTTAACGTCCCCGCCTCTTAAGGAAAGGAGAGGTGCCTTAACTATCTCTGCTCAGTCAGACAGTTCACGCTCATTCTCCCCTCCCCTCTCAAGACTCACAAAGCTAAGACTGTTTTTATTTTTTGTTTTGTTTCCTTTTCATTCCCACGAACTGCAGTGATTGGGACGATGGGTTTGGGAGATTGAAACGTGCCCATGAGCAGCTTGAGGACAATTTCAGTTTCCCGTCCCGTTTGATGTTCTCGGTGACATTTCCTGATGAGACATTGAAAGGATTCTTGTTCCTGCAGATCAAGAATTCAAAACTCAATTCGGCTTCCGTGCTACGAGGAATGTTAGTTTGGAAGTGCACTTGAGTCAGGTAGGAGTCGAGCCCACCATCTCTTGATCTGTAATCAGGTATGGTAGCAATGCACCACTGCCCCGCTGTGTGCACAATGCTTACATGTGGCAAAGTTGTGTTTTTAACACGGAAAAGAGCAGCAATGGTTACATTCACAAGTTGAGCAACCAGCAAAGATAATCAACGTCGCTGCTTCAATTCAATGGTCCCCATTTTGTGAAGTGGTGAGTTTTGCTGGCAAAGGGAACACAGTTGTCCTCAAGAGGCTGCTTCATTGTCGTCTCTTTTTCTGCTGGATTCATCCGGCAGTTGATTTCCTTCGTTCCACAAGCACTTCTGCTTCTCCTGTTCCTCTATTCTCATTCCCTCATTCCCAGTTTCGTAGGAATAACGTGGTGAGGCCGGATGAATTGCAGATTTAGCGGAGAATGCCGAGGCAGAATGAGCTGATCACGCAGTTCTCTGCTGTCACCATCCATTCATTTTACATCAACAGTACAGACATCGCTATAATCCTATAATTGTGCTGGAATTGTTTTTATTTCTTCTAGTGGATTAGGAATTTTAATTCGAATTCTAAAGATGCACAATCATTTGAGAGAAGAAATGTCTCCTTACCTCAATCTTAACTGACCGACACATTATCCGGAGAATGTGAGGCCAGTTCTAAACAGTCCGGCCAAGGGGAAGAAGCCTCTCAGCAACTCCACTCTCAAATTGTCTCCGAACTTCGGACTTTTCAAAGAGCAGAAATGAGAAATGACGGATATTGACAGAAGGAGGGTCGAAGACTGTAAAAGAGGTTGAGGTGGACAAACAGTGACTAAGAGCGTCAAAAGAGACACATATTGAGGTAGACACTGAAAGGACCAATTCTTCATTCGACATGGCTGCTAAGGGACAGAAAGGAAAAGAAAAAGGCAACCATTTAAGCAGAGCCTTTCACCACCTCAGGGCGACGGAAGCAACATTAGAACCGATGAAGTCACTTGAAAGTTGTAAAGCTGTCGGTTGTAAGTTAATGAGAGAGTGCAATTTTGATAAATGTGCTGATTCAACCGATAAAGCCGATCATTTCCTCAGGCATTGTAGTATATAATTGCATAACTAACATGCTACTGGTGAACGGCCACTGGATCTGAAACTTTAACTCTGTTTCTAGACACAGATGCTGCTAGACCTGCTGAATTTCTCTATCAATTCCTGTTTTTGTGTCAGATTTCCGCAGTTCCTTTGTTTTATCTTAATCTGAACGACGTTTTGGGCAAAATAGATTATCTACCAGCTTCTGAAAGAAATCAGCCAGAAGTGCTGTCACCACAATAAATTGGCAGAACAGAACAGCCAGCCCTGACTGGGATTTGACCACAAGCTGCAGTAGTGACAGCGTCAAATCCTAACCTGTAAACCACCAGGGAATGCACCAAATGCTGTCGTATGTTTTCTTAATGGCACGGCTCTTGCGTTTTTATTTGTGATCATTTTCGCCACAAGTGAGTTTCTCCCAGTCTTCGAATTTTTACAGTGTGGAAGAAGACCATTCGGGCCATCGTGTCAGTGCAGTTCATCAATCCTCCATCTATTCTAGTCCCAGTTTCTAGCATTTGGCCTATTGCCTTGTGTGGTCTGACGTTTTGAGGGCAAATGTCAATGAGTTTATCTCTGTAATCTCAAATGACACAAGGAGTGGGAGTGAAGTTGGAGATGGTAAAATTGCGTTAGAACCCCCTCGAGGATCTCATTCTCATTTTCACCCACACTGCAGACACACAGACA